CGCCCTTTCATGCTGTCGATTCGTTCGGAGGACTAGAATTTCATACCATTAAAAACCTTAAAATGACTGCCGTGACCAGGATTCGAACCTGGGTTACCACGGCCACAACGTGGGGTCCTAACCACTAGACGATCACGGCTACCTGTCACTGTTTACAACTGCACTTTTACGCTGTCGATTCGTTCGGAGGACTAGAATGTCATACCATTAAAAGCCTAAAAATGACTGCCGTGACCAGGATTCGAACCTGGGTTACCACGGCCACAACGTGGGGTCCTAACCACTAGACGATCACGGCTACCTGTCACTGTTCACAACTGCACTTTCACGCCGTCGATTCGTTCGGAGGACTAGAATTTCATACCATTAAAAGCCTAAAAATGACTGCCGTGACCAGGATTCGAACCTGGGTTACCACGGCCACAACGTGGGGTCCTAACCACTAGACGATCACGGCTACATAGGACTGTTTACAACAGCCCTTTCACGCTGTCGATTTGTTCGGAGGACTAGAATTTCATACCATTAAAAACCTTAAAATGACGGCCACAACGTGGGGTCCTAACCACTAGACGATCACGGCTACCTGTCACTGTTCACAACTGCACTTTCACGCCGTCGATTCGTTCGGAGGACTAGAATTTCATACCATTAAAAGCCTAAAAATGTCTGCCGTGACCAGGATTCGAACCTGGGTTACCACGGCCACAACGTGGGGTCCTAACCACTAGACGATCACGGCTACCTGGGACTGTTTTCAACCGCCATTTCACGCTGTCGATTCGTTCGGAGGACTAGAATTTCATACCATTAAAAGCCTAAAAATGTCTGCCGTGACCAGGATTCGAATCTGGGTTACCACGGCCACAACGTGGGGTCCTAACCACTAGACGATCACGGCTACCTTTCATTGTTTTCAAGCGCCATTTCACGCTGCCGATTCGTTCGGAGGACTAGAATTTCATACCATTAAAAGCCTAAAAATGTCTGCCGTGACCAGGATTCGAACCTGGGTTACCACGGCCACAACGTGGGGTCCTAACCACTAGACGATCACGGCTACCTGGCACTGCTTACAAATTCCCCTTCAGGCTGTCGATTCATGCAGAGGACTAGAATTTCATACGATTAAAAGTCTAAAAATGACTGTTGTGACCAGAATTCGAACCTAGATTACCACGGCCACAACGTGGGGTCCCAACCACTAGATGATCACGGCTACCTGGCGTTGTTTACAACCGCCCTTTCACGCTATCGATTCGTTCGGAGGACTAGAATTTCATACCATTAAAAGCCTAAAAATGTCTGCCGTGACCAGGATTCGAACCTGGGTTACCATGGCCACAACGTGGGGTCCTAACCACTAGACGATCACGGCTACCTGGGACTGTTTTCAACCGCCCTTTCACGCTGTCGATTCGTTCGTAGGACTAGAACTTCATACCATTAAAAGCCTAAAAATGACCGCCGTGACCAGGATTCGAACCTGGGTTACCACGGCCACAACGTGGGGTCCTAACCACTAGACGATCACGGCTACCTGTCACTGTTCACAACTGCACTTTCACGCCGTCGATTCGTTCGGAGGACTAGAATTTCATACCATTAAAAGCCTAAAAATGTCTGCCGTGACCAGGATTCGAACCTGGGTTACCACAGCTACCTGTCACTAGAGTTTCATACCATTAAAAGCCTAGAAATGACTTCCGTAACCAGGATTCGAACCTGGGTTACCACGGCCACAACGTGGGGACCTAACCACTAGACGATCACGGCTACCTGGGACTGTTTACAACCACTAGAATTTCATACCATTAAAAGCCTAAAAATGTCTGCCGTGACCAGGATTCGAACCTGGGTTACCACGGCCACAACGTGGAATCCTAACCACCAGACGATAACGGCTAGCTGGGACTGTTAACAGCTGCCCTTTCACGCTGTCGATTCGTTCGGAGGACTAGAATTTCATACCATTAAAAGCCTAAAAATGACTGCAATGACCAGGATTCGAACCTGGGTTACCACGGCCACAACGTGGGGTCCCAACTACTAGACGATGACGGCTACCTGGGTCACGTTACAATAATTCTTTCATGCTATTGATTTTTTCGGAGCACTAGAATTTCGTTCCATAAGAAATTCTAGAATGACTGCCGTGACCCGGATTCGAACGCGGGCTACCCCGGCCACGACTTGGGGTCCCAACCACTAGACGATCAGGGCTAGCTGGGACCGTTAACAGCTGCCCGTTCACGCTGTCGATTCGTTCGGAGGACTAGAATTTCATACCATTAAAAGCCTAAAAATGACTGCCGCGACCACGATTCGAACCTGGGTTACCTCGGCGACAACGTGGGGTCCCAACCACCAGACGATAATGGGACTCGTTACAATTGGCCTTTCATACTATAAATTTGTTTGGAGGACTAGAATTGCGTACCATAAAAAGCGTAAAAATGACTGCCGTAACTGCGATTCGAACCTGGGTTACCACGGCTGCAACGTGGGACCCTAACCATCATACGATCACGGCTACCTGGGACTAGTAATTTTCAGCCATAATCCACAGAAACTAAATCTACCTAATTGACCCGAATGTAACACGAAAAGAACCCTTGCGAATTGACCTATTATACCCAAAAATTTTGATTTTTCAAATGGAAAGTACCTCTCTTCATGCAGTAAAAAAAATCAATATAAAAACTGTACTTCAGTATTATAGTAATGATAGTAAATTTACAGAAAGAGCATTTGCATGACGTACCCCCCCTGTCCACACTTAAATATAAACTTCATAGGTTCCTAGCCTATGAAGTTTAGGGATAAATGATTTAGTGATTTCCAATTATTAATCAATTGATGTAAAAAAACGAAAAAAGTATAAGAAAGAAAGGTACTTTCATAATGCCACCCCATTAAGCTCTAAACAAAAATACGCGAATAGCTCCAAAAAAAAGTACGACCACAGATTTTAAAGTGGAAACACCGCCTAATTTGACCTTAACTGGAGACTATCATAATTGATCATAATACAACGATGGTAATAACCATATAGTAGTCATAATAATACAATATAAATTACAATATAATATCATATAACTAATGATATATATATATATATATATATATATATATATATTTATATAAAATTAAATAAAATAAAATTATACCATATACCATATAATAAAATAACCATATAGTAGTCATAATAATACAATATAAATTACAATATAATATCATATAACTAATGATATATATATATATATATATATATATATATATATATATATAAAATTAAATAAAATAAAATTAAATTAAATAATATATATATATATATATATATATATTACTTTTCTCACATTTGATTTTTCTTTCGTTCATGCACGCATCCTTCAATACTGGATTTAGGTCCTGATCAGTCTTGAGTATATAAGTTTCTAGCAATGCTTTAGGTAAGACCCATTAAATGAGATTAAAAACAAATTTTCTTAAAAATAGGGATGAACATACAATACTGCTAAGTATTGACTCGAATGTAACGCGAAAAGAACCCTCGCGAAATGACTTAATGTATCCAAAAGTTCCAATTTTCAAAATAGAAAGAACCTCTCATCGTTAAGAATAAAAATCAATATAAAAACTTTATTTCAGTATTATAGCGATGATTGTAAATTTAGAGAAAGAGCATTTACATGATGTACCCCCCTTGATCCACCAAGTACACACTTAAATAAAAACTTCATAGGTTTCCAGTCTGTGAAGTTTAGGGGCAAATCATTTAGTAATTTGCAGTTGCTTTTTTGGTAGGCCCAATCAATAAGGCATTTGATTTGAAAAATATTCTAAGATTTTTTATCATTTTATGATTAGAGTTCTGTTTTGACAGATGTACCCTTGCTTCCTTTTTCTGTTTCCTCGGCTGAACTTTGTGCCAGTGATTTACCTCGATTTGTTCTTCGTTTCGTATTTCTATGAACGACTGACGTCTTGGCAAACCATTTTTCTCATTAAGCTGACTGTTTCATATAATTTGGGAGCTTCGGTTTCTTGAGACCTCGCTTGTGCCCTGCCGTTCACTTTTCTCTACAGGGGACTTCATTTATCACTACTTCAACCTTATCATCCATGGTTCGGCCTATTTCCTCTATCTATTGGTTGTCTAAATCAATATTTTTTTATTACAGCAACATAGTGCCAGCTTGTATCTTCAACTCTTTATGTATGTTTGACTTTGATTTGACAATCTTGTGCAGTTCATTTATCAATTTTCTACAAGGGTTCTACTTTATAATTTACAACGTGTTTTATTAGATGCACTGATTGTACCAACAGAAAATACAAATCGAGTTTTTGAGAGAACGGAGTACCCGATTTGAATGATCTAAAAAACAATCAATTTGTAATGATTGGGAGAACAGGTGATTAGTTAGATTAGTACAGAGCTAAATGTGCAAAAATATCAATTTTTGAGAGAGCTAAGCGTCCGATTTGAATGATTCAAAGAACTTTCTGCTTGTTTTAACAAAATAATTGCTTTTGAAAAAAAAAATTGTTTCAATTTTTTTTCCAAAAAAATTTTTTTTTGTATATCAAAAATAATTCAAATTTTAATTTTAATTCTAACTAAAGTTCTAATATACTTTAAACAAATAATTTCAATTTTGCAATTCAATTTATATAATTCTTATGAATATTAGACAATGTTACAGTATTCATAAAAATCTATTTGAAAACACTTAATATTCCTCGAACATTTCGTTACTGTACGGGAAGTTTCAGCAATTTGCCTTAAGACACGATGCCCACATAAATAAAAGAAGAGCCTGATTGCCGATACGATAAACAGCGCTATTGTGTGCGAAACTGAAACTTGATAAACATTCAAGTGAAACTTTATGCTTATTTATCTATGCTTGCATGGCTTATCTATGGTTTATCTGAATGAAACGTCAATTGTCTCGGAAAATAACCTCTCAAACATTTTTGACCGTTGACAGAAAATAATTTAGTGGATTGGTGCAGCTGCATAGAATGATAATAAACACTTTGATGTTAGGTTAATAATATTAATGTAATAAATATAAAAAAACGATAGATTTGATTAAATATTTTATGATATTGTAATCACAAAAAAAACTAAGTTTCGTAGACTGGTCACGCCCACGTTTACCAAAATAATCTGCTAGAAAGCAATCTTTTGACTGTATGGTATGATTGTTGACATTATTAGACAAAATCATGGGTGCGTTATTCGGGAAACATAAAAAGACACCAAGTAGGATTACAGAACAAGATAAAGCAATTTTGCAATTGAAACAGCAGAGAGATAAATTAAAACAATTTCAAAAACGTATCGAGCTGTCTCTCGAGAAGGATAGGGAGCTAGCTAAAAAATGTTTATTAAATGGCAGGAAGGATAGGGCAAAATGTTTACTAAGAAAAAAGAAATACCAAGAGCAGTTACTTAAAAACACTGATGCCCAATTAGAGAATTTAGAAAAAATGGCAATGGACATAGAATTTGCTCAAGTTGAAATACAAGTTATGGATGGTCTTAAACAAGGAAATTTAGCTTTGAAAAAGGTTCATGAAGTCCTCACTTTAGATGAAATTGAACAAATATTAGATGATACTAGGGAAGCCGTAGATAAGCAAAATGAAATAGACAGCCTCTTGACAGGTGTTTTAAGTCAAGAAGATGAAAATGCTGTTGAAGAAGAGCTTAATATGTTAATGGAGTTAGAAGAATTGGATGAGAATGTAGAAGTTGATATTAACCTACCAGATGTACCATCAGAAGAGTTGCCTCAACACAAAGAGAAGGCGCCCGAGAAACAAAGAATTGCAGTTGCGCTAGAATCATAAAATTCTATATTTTAAACTAGTTGCAAAGAAGAGATTTGAAGATACCTTGTATTAAATATGTACATATGTATATAAAACACACATGTAAATTTGCACAAAACTCACATGTAAATTTTAAACAAAGCCTATGAATTTGAAGTTATATGCTTTAATTGTTATCTATATTATGTATATTGCACATCCATACTTAATATTAATTTTATCTGTAACTCGCCAGTGATAATTTGATTGCAAGCTTGAATGCAAAAGAAATAAATTTTTCATGTATTTCACTTTTAATTTTAACTTATTACACACTATTTTATACAATTACTCTTGTACTTGATTTGATAATATGTTTAATGGTTCTTCATTCACAACCATTATATAAAATAAATTATTGTGATTCACATTACATATACATCAAAGATTCTTTTCTCAATTCAACCTGTTGAATATAATTGTTAATTATGAGCAACACAACACTCAGATTTTCCACTTTATTTATAATTTTTAATGTTTTGAAATTACACTGAAAATGAGCCATACCAAGGCCTCGAAACATCTGTAATTATTAAATAAAGTGTGTGCAAATATGTGAGTGTTGTGTTGTTCATAATTAACATTTAATATTCATTCCACTCATATCACAAAATTCTATATATATATATTTATATATTATAGTCGGTCTTATCATACTCTGCTCCAGAGACGTGTTATATCCGATGACTACGACCACGTGTTTTCTTTTCAAATGTCATATTAAATATCCAATATTTGAACAAAATTTCATTTTGTTTTACCATATTTTAGGTGAAAGTAATTCCAGATAGTACTGGTTTTACGTCTCATTGCCATTTCTGTGATGATAAATTCACTTACTTATTTTATTGCTCCAGTTAAAAATAAACATTTTTTTAACTTGGTGATTGATCCTATGACTCATTTATTTTGCAATGTTTTTAGTTCGTAAAAACGAAAATTTTAAAATCAATTTTATAAAAAAAAGTTCAATTTTATAATTATTCATATAATTTTATAATTGTATATAATTGTTTTTATATAAATAAAAAAAATGTAAACGTATGTATATGTAAAAACAATACATTTTTTAAAAAATATTTTTCAAAAAAAAAAAAAAAAATACCTCACATTTCCCCCTCTTCTACTATTTCCATTTCAAGGATTAATTGTAATTATAAGAATTATTACTTTTACACAATATATAATATAATAATAAATGTTTTTTTTTATAATTTGTAAAAAAACAAAACAAATTAAATGCATTTGTGTAATAAAATTAAATACTTATTGGTAATATTATTATGTAACCTTTAAAATCATAAAGTTGTCAGTGAGACAAAAAAGCGACCTCTTCTTTCGACACAAATTTTTCTTTGCATTTGTAAAAAACCACAAGAAAATGTCTATACGCGTTACAAGATCTAAGTCCAGATTAGAGAAGTCGGATATGATAAATTCTTGAATAGAGCTCCGCTCAGATTGTATATCCGTATAATATATATATATATATATATATATATATATATATATATATATATATATATATATCTTGTAAATCAATGACAATAGAATGCAATGGCAAAGATAACATATATTCTTATTATTTTCTTATAATGTCTATAAAATGCATCATGTAAGTAACAATATATAAATTATCAATAAGAAATTAATTAACAATGGAAAGTCATGAAGTGAAATTTTAACAATAAATTAATTTGTACAACCTACATGATTATTACATATATTTTTTTGGTACTTTTTGTACTATCTAAAAATACTTTATTACAGTTGATTTATTTTATTCAAACGCATCACTTCTGATGCCAATGTATCAACATTTTCCTGAAACAAAATTTAATTAAATCGAGAAATAAATAGCTGAAACTATGAAATGCTATACTTACTTTCAAAGCTACATTTTTTAGTAGTGTATCTTCTAGCAGAGCTTGCAAGTTTTTGTTCATAATTTGAGACATTTCAAGAGTTATTTCAGAATCTTCTTTTGGAAACTCAGACTTTGATAATACTGACATATCAGACTAAAAGAAAAAGTAATGCTTTCAAAAATTTTTACTAACAATAAGTATAACTTATTAAGTGTAACTTATTGTTAGACTGCATTAAACATATGTTGATTATATTAAATGCAACTTTGGATATACATTACTTTTTATGTAGTTTTCAAAATAAAATATCATAAGCTATGTTTTACTTACTTTGGAATAATTAGTTCTTAATAATAAATTCTGCATGACACGTGTTTTATTTTGAATTTCTGCAACAAGAGCTTTACAATGTTCTTCCAAGAAATCTAGTTTTTCAGCTTGTTTTGCTTTGATTTTCTGCAATTTCAGAATTCTTTCCAAAAGTATTTCTATATCTTGATTATTAGTCTGCAACAATAACTAATCATTATTTGATATATAAAATTTTCAAGCTATAACACCAAAAAAATTTACTTGTGGTGTTATTGTAGTTTCAATTGAACTCAGTGAAGAGTTTGAGCCTTTGTTAACTCCTTTTTCTACCTGATTTTTTTTGACTTGCTGTAATTCTCTATTCAATTCCTGTGAAGGGCAAAGTATACAATTAAAATTTAAATACCAAAAATACTGTGGCTACAATAGCATATTATTTTTCTAATACATATAATGACTCCAAAACCACACCCTATGTCGAATCGCTCGTATCTCAAAACCAAGATTTTGAATTTTAAAATTTACGTATATGGTTCAAACACATGTCCTCGACATTCTCGATAGTATGGAATAACCGATTTGTATGATCGCGAGGCGTTTTTGCAAAAGGCAATTTTGCAGTTTGAAAATTATTAAAAAAAATCAAAGTTTCAAAAAAAAGTCAAATTTTCGAAATTTTTCATCATTTTCAAAAAAAAAACTAAATTTTGAAAAACTTAAACAAAATTAAAAAAAAAATCTTACAAAAATTTGAGCATATTTCAAAATTTTCAAATAAATCAAGTATTTTCAAAAATTTCCAAATTCTCAAAGAATTTAAAAAAAAAACGGTTTATTTAAAAAAGTTGAATGAACAAATATTGAATATTTTCATTTGTCGAATGTTTAATTACGGTCTGGCAATTTGCCTTAAGGCACAATAACACCCACTAGATAATATAATTATCATTCATGATATTGTGGTGATGAGTAACATTCTTCTTTAAGCTATTCTGATGCTCGAACTGTTGCAACTTCTTAGGCGTAATTTTTAATTTTAACTAATTTTTAAATAATATTTTATATTTAACTTTTTTTTAAATAAGTAAATAGTTGCCCTTGTAGTATACAATGTCCCTTTTCGGCCGACTATTGTATTGTATTCATGGGCCCAACATGCCCTTGTAGTATACAATATCCCTTTTCGGCCGACTATTGTAAATTCATCAAATTTATTGAATGTCCTTTACTGGACAGTTGTAAATAAAAGAGATAATAAAAAAAATAAAAAAACATTTAGAGCTACGAAAGCTGCTTATAAATAATTGTAAGGAGCTCAGTTGAAGATATACCCCTTATCAACTTTAATTCAAGTGGCAAGGCCCTTTTTTGGACTCATGGTTATAAAAGTAAATATTTTGTAGATGTACAAAAAGCCTCAAAAATTATTTATGTAGGTTGATTGTTACTAGACAATTATTATTTTCATATAAATGAAATGGCTGACTATAAAATAATTTACTATTATAAAAAAATATTTCTATGACAGGAAGATCATTGTTACAACTAACTTAATATTTTTCTAGAAACTCTTACTCGCCCAATGCTATCTCAAAACACACCTATGTCAGGTCACTCGAAAGTCAGAGTACCTACTTTCTTTATACTTGTTATAATGGGGGTACCGCAGTATGTAATTTACTTGAATTCCCTGATTGATTGAAAAAACATAAATGACTGAATTTTGCATAAGTATAAAAATATAAATCAACCTTTACTACTGCGGAATGTTTTCTCTTCAGAACTTGCACCTCGCCCTGAGATTCGGCTAATTTGAGTTGTATCTTTTCTAATGATTCAGTTTTACTCGCCAGATGTCTGACTAGAACATCACGCTCATTTTTATATTTAGTTTGCTCGCTAAGCAGATCTTTTTGCAGAGCTGTCATCTTCTGTGTTTGTTCATTTAATGCTAATTTCAACATATCTTTCTCAGTGCAATGACCTAATACCTAAATAAAAAATAATGGATCAAATTACAATCACAATGCAAACTTTCTAGTTTATATATATATATATATATATATATATATATATATATATATATATATATATATTTATATATATATATATATATATATATAAATTTTTAACTTTATACGTAATTTGAATTTTATGAATCAATCAATTCAATTTTGTGCTTTAGAAAAATTTTAGTACTACATATAAAACATTATATATTAATTATTTAAATAATTTTATTTTATTTTTTTAATTATTATTTGGTATTTTATAAAATACAAAAATAAACCAGCTGTAAGTGGCATTGAAACGATTATAGTGCCCCTATACAAACTGTTATGTTATAACAGCGCGGCTCATTATTCCAAACTTTTATAATTTATAATAATAATTTTTATAATTCAACCACTTTACGTAGGTGAGTATTTTGGGGTGTGTGTTTAGACCATAAACTATTATCTCCGTTATAAATTTCATTAAAAAATCGAAAAAAAAAATGTTTTTCAACATTTAATTAAGAAGTAACGACCCGATCGACATATACTAAGCAGCTGTCTTCCCAAATGATATCTTTAGACTAGTTTTTGAATTTCTAAAATCGGTTCTGATATTTTTACGAGAACGTGAACAAAAAAGTTTGCACTACCTTGGTTATTCTAAAAAAATAGACTCGGTCGATCGTCTCTAAATCAAACAAAAATGTATACCCGTATAAAGGCATCTTTCAGCTATATTTTTAAAATAATTACAAGTAAAAATATTTAATATAGAAAAAGTAACAGCCGATCTGCGGGAGGAAAAATCTTCGGTTAATCACTAGAAAATATATTTAAGAAGATCCTGTCAAAATGTAAGGCTAATCGGATTAGCTGTTTTCTAATTATATTGGTCACCGATTTTGAAAACACCATTTCGAGAAAAACGCGTTTAAAGTTTGAAAAGCAATTGCATGGTATAAAAAAACTGTTTTTTCATTTTCCATGGTGTCACCTATTGCAGGGCCATATGA